GGAAATCTGTTGCTCATCTTGGTACCAGCCCACACTGCAGAGTGGAAAACAGAAGAGAATTTGAGCTTTTAGATATTTCAATTTGTTGATAAATCAACAATAAATCAGAGGGAGCACCTGAAAGCCTGTTATGAGACTTAATATACTTCATTACTTCAGCCAATTTGGTATTCATTTCTGCTGAGTGTATCCTAACTGACTCAAGCAACTAAGGGGCATGATCCATGCTGGGTGCTCATCATCTGGTGAGGGATGAAGACATACATAACACTCAGTCATGGACTATGTACTAAGTATTGTCCTACAAGTTTTACAGACACATTCTGAAACTAGTCACATTCATCCAGTGCCAGAAGCAAGGAGAGCAGAGAGATTGAAAGAATATCCAAATAGCCAGTAAGTAATCAGAAAAATAGAAATGTAAACCACAATTATCACAATCAGATACCACTACATACCTAACAGACTGTGTAGGCAGGGAGAGGGAGGGTAATAATAGCAAATATTGTCAAGGATGTGGAGAAAACAACACTCATAGACTGTTGGTGGGAGTGTCAGTTGGTACATTTGTTTGGAAATGTGTTTAGCAGAATTTAAACTTATTAAAGTTGAATATAAGCATACCCATGGCCATGACCAAGCAATTCTACTGTCAGGTATATATGCAAAGAATGCATGTGCATGTCCAAATGACATGTACAAATATGATCATAGTAGCCCTGTAAGAAGTTCTGACGTCCCAACATAGCATTCCCAAGAACACAAAATGTTGGATTGTTCAATGAGGGGCCATGTTAGGATGCTCCTTTTATGTGGATCTTGCTGGTAGTACATGGATATGAAAAGGGTCCTTAAAGGAATTGTGTTGGGCACTTAGGAACTTTGTTGTGTCCGAAGTCGAAATTCAAAGACAAGGAAAGCAGCACATGGAAATAGAAAAGTATTAAAGATCTCCAATTAAAAAAGAAAACAACCCAATAGAGCATATGATTTTTAAGGCAAGTTTTAACATTTAAAGAACAGGTCACTGAAATACCAGAACAGAAAAAAATACAATAATAAATTTGTTATACAATGTCACTCATGAGATGCAAATATCCTAAATAGAACAGTAACAAATGAATCAAGCAGTGCAACAAAAGACTAATACACGCACGGCTAACCTGGGTATAGCCAAGAATGGGAAAAAGTCAAAGAATCTCGTATAAATTGACACACCAACAAATTAAATATTATATAATTGCAGAAAGAGATGATGAAATCGCACTTGATAAAATTCAAGAGCTATTCCTACTCATTACAACAAAGATGATTTACTAAGAGGAAACCTTAGGAAAAAAGCAGCCGTTTGAGAGCATGATGCTGTTGGTCATTTCATCATAGCTAACAACCAGACTTGGTGACTGAAATTTCCAACTTCCGAGTCGCTCTTTTGGTTATGACAGCATTTCCAATGTGGGTTCACATCCCTAAGATGGCAACAGGCAACAGGAATGGGGCTTCCATGGGAAAGTCTAAGACACCAGTTTAAACAAAGGTAAAGAATTTTCTTGTTACAGTACTCTCTATTCTTTTGATGAGCTGGTGAAGTGCTTTTGGTTGTTACTTTAGAGGTTCAGTAGATGTTAACTTCATAAGCTTCTTTAATTAGAGAATCCTCTTTGCTTTTCCAGTACTAATAAACACGGGTGATGGTTGCCACTTAATTTCAGAAATGCTGGGATAAGGCACCGTCTCCACATGACCCTGGTTAACATGTAAATATGGTACTCAGGAGGAGTAACATACTAACCTATTAGTAATGATTTATCCTGTTAAATCACTCAAAATGTTGTGCTTTGTGTTATTATTAAAATTTGAAATTGCTTAGAACAATGCTGTCAACTGCTGGCTGGTGAATGACTCAACGGTGGTATCATGGGTGCCCTATCTGCCCAAAATGGACATCAGGGTGCGGTGTGGGTTATACTGGACAACTAGGATCACTACAGGACCTGGCTGTCAATGCAGAGGTTTTGATGGAACTGGCATTCTTATTTTTGGAAAGGAATAAATTTTAAAGGGTTGAATTCCAACTGCGTGAGTATATAAACACACACACATACTCTAGTTCATCATAATATGCTTTGATGCTAGCACTAAGTCATAACAGCCACCTGATTGTAGGTGATTATGAGAAGCCATTAATTTTAAGATGGATTCTGATTTCCAAAATGGAACTATGAAAAACTTTTTAGAATTCAATCATTATCTATTTATCTGGATTCCTATTTCAAAATCCATAAGAACAAATTTAGGTATTTGTGCTGATTCCATTTTTTTCCCGTCACTTAACCTGTATTTATATTTAAGCCAGAAAAGTTTGGGTCTGGATATTCCATGCAAATTATTTTCTATTGCACAATTCTTATAAAGGACATTTGGATTCTGTTTGCTGATATTTTAATTATAATTTTTGCATTTAGCTATATTTATCTAGTTTTTGGTTTTTAAAGCTATCTCCATCCAGTTTAAGTTATCCATGTAAGATGAACCAACAAAATTTTTAGTGATTTTCACATTCAAATTTTTACCTGAGGAGACAACAATTTCCAAATGTTGTTTCTAAAATGGAGATCTTGGGCCAAATTTTCAACCTTCTCCTTTATTGGTTCAATCGGGTTTAAACATTGTACTATCTTAAATCTGAAAAATCTCCTCCATACCTGTAATTACGTGTGCTTATTCGTGATTCTATAATGTTGTCTTTCTTTTCCCTTGTTCAGATCTACCAAAATCTAACTGAAGTTAATGGGCTTTCCACACAAAAATACTGGCAGGAGACTGCTGTTTTAATTCCTAATTATTAATCTCTAATTTTAGTTGTATCAATTGCTCCTGTATATTGGCTTAGGGTTTGTTATTTCTCTGGCTTCTTGAGTTTAATACTAGAGGCACTATGTAGGTGTGGAGGAAGGGTTGTGAACAAGATATAGTTCTGGCCCTCCATCTTGGTTTCCTCCAAGATGCATTAAAGGTATTATTCTTCCACTGAGTAGAGCTTCAGCCATATCCTGCAAGTTCTGATACACAATCATTTCATTAGCATTCTTTTCTCAAAATCTGTAATAGTTTCAATTTGCTTTTTAATTCAGAATTTATACATATATATAATAAATTTCCATAGGTTTGCCCATCCTGTTAATTGTAATCTATATACAATGTACAGATATACACACTACCTATATATCTCTATATATGTAACTTTATACATATATAACTCTAGCAGTCACCATCTTAATCAAGTGATCAAACTTAGCATCAGTGATAGCAGGAAAAATAGACATTATGTGCTTCTGATGTGCTGCAATGAGTACACATCACCACCTATGCAGTGTTCTGGCCAAAAATATTTAAACCTCTGGCTCTAACTTCATTTTATGAAAAATACAAACAATAGAGGCACAAATTAAATTTCACCACGAGGAAAAGAAACAAACCTAGAATGTGTGGCATTCTACAGAACACCTTTCTTGAACTCTTCAAAAGTTTGTTCAAGACTAAATCTAGAGGCATGACAACCAAATGCAATGCATGAATCTAGAGAGGAGGCTGGTTATAAATAAAAACCAGTATGATAAATTCTTGGGAGAACTGGGAAATATGAAGTAAATACAAAAGGATACTGAAGAATTACTGTTAATTTTTCTTATGTGTAACCATAATATTTGAATTCAGAATAAGGCTTTTCTTAGAATATACGTGCTGATGTGTTCAGTGATTTAAGTATCATGGTTTCTACATCTTATATCAAATGGTACATAAGTATACATTTAGAGAAAAAGCAAACACAGCAAAATGTTAACAATTAGTAATTTGTGATGCAGCTTAAGAGATGAGCTCTGAATGAAAATCCTCCCTGGTTCTTTAGGTTTAGTAGATTTTATCCAAAATTATCTGAAATTCAATGGGTAAGTGGTTAGCTTTTCTAAATTCACTACACCAAAGGGGCCTTCCTCTCCTAAGAATTCACTAGCAGTAATACTAATGATGAGGATAATCAGGAAAATAGCTAATATATATTGAGTGCAGGTTATATACCACTCTTCCAAGAATCTGACACATACTAAACCCATTCATTCTCTACAACAGCAGGGTGGCACTATAGTTAAGAGCTTGGCTGTTAACTGAAAGATCGGCGGTTCAAATCCATCAGCCGCTCCACAGCAGAAAGATGTGGCAGTCTGCTTCCATAAAGATTACAGCCTTAGAAACCCTATGGGGCAGTTGTACTCTGTCCTATAGGGTCGCCAGGAGTCAGAATCCACTTTATTGCAATGGGTTTGGTGTTTTAAAGGGTCACTATGAGTCAGAATCAACTTGATGCCAATGGATTTTCACCATCATCAGCATTTTAAACACAATGCCCAGAGGGCATAGCATTTTGCTCAACATCCTACAGGTGGTACGTTGATGAAAATAACTATAGTTTGTGCCACAAATAAGGGTCTTCCTACATTTGTTAAATTAACGGAGTTATTCTCTAGATGAGTTTGCTGAAGTTTTAACAAAGATTAAATGGTTCTGGAAGGCTTCTATGCATTCACTATGTGAACATATCTGTCATCAATTCTCTTATGTCGTGAGCATGAAGAAAGTGACTGCCACATTCACCAAATCTTCCTGTAATATATTCTACTACTCAGATCGGTGAAGGCTTTCTTATACTAATTAGAGCATACTGTGATTTCTCTCATGTTTTAAAAAGGGTGAATGTGGTCTCCCAAACTATTTCTGGTGAAGGACCAATTTTTGTTTTTAATTTCCAATCATTTATGAACTGATACTTTTGTAAAATATAACAACAATGTTGTGACAACATGAAATTGCTATAAAAGCTTCCAAATATTTACTCTCAATTTCTGCGTTTATCTCATGATGGACAAGTAACATTTTGTGGACTGGTCCCAGTCTGTGGGCAATACTTTTAGTAGCACTGGTCTAAAGACCTTCCTACAATTCTAATTCAAAGGGTTTCTCATTAGGATGAATTCTCTGGTATACTCTAAGACATCTACCATGTCCCCAGGCCTTTTCATTACAGTCGTAGGATTTCACAGCAGTGTGAGTTCTCTGGTGTGCAGCTAGAATTGAATTCAGTTTAGGTCCTTCTTACAGTCCTTACATTTAAAGTACTTCTCACAAGTATGAATTCTCCGACATTGAACAAGCTTTGGGCCATGAGAAAAGATTTTCCCACATTCCTCACATTTAAGGGCTTCAAACAGGTATAAACTTAAATTCATTAGGATCATACAGATGTCCAAAGGCCTTTTCATATTGTTTGTATTCAAAAAGTTTCTCACTAGTATAAATTTGCTGATGTCAAGTAAATTGTCCATACTCAGGAAAGGCTTTTGACCATTCATTACATTCACAGGGTTTCTCCAGACTAGGATTTTTCCTCATGTTAAGTTGTCCATACACAAAAAAATTCTTTGCATTTCTTAAATTCATAAGGTTTCACCAATATGAATCTTCTCATTTGAGTAAGGTGTCCATGTAAAGGCCTCCTCACATTCTTTGTATTCATAGGGTTTATCACTACTATGAATTCTCTCATGTTGAGCAAGGCTTGAGGCACGAATATAGGTCTTTCCGCATTCCTTACATTGATAAGGTTTCTCACCAGTATGAGATCTCTGATGAATACTAAGTTGATACCCACTACCAAAGGCCTTCCCACATTCTTTACATTCATAAGGTTTCTCACCAGTATGGACTCTCTCATGTTTAACAAGGCCCCAACGCCAACTAAAGGCTTTCCCACACTCCTTACATTTAAAAGGTTTCTCACCAGTATGAATTTTCTGATGTTGAGTAAGGTGATAGCCACGGCTAAAGGCCTTCCCACATTCTTTACACTGATAGGGTTTCTCACCAGTATGGATTCTCTCATGTTGAACAAGGCTTGAGCCACAATTAAAGGACTTCCCACATTCCTTACATTCATAGGGTTTCTCACCAGTATGAAATATTTGATGTCGAGTAAGTTGGTACACACTACAAAAGCCCTTCCCACATTCTTTACATTCATAGGATTTCTCACAAGCATGGATTCTCTCGTGTTTAACAAGGCTTGAACCCCAACTAAAGGCCTTCCCACATTCTTTACATTCAAAAGGTTTCTCACCAGTATGAATTTTCTGATGTTGAGTAAGGTAATAACCACGACTAAAGGCCTTCCCACATTCTTTACATTGATAGGGTTTTTCACCAGTATGGATTCTTTCATGTTGAACTAGACTTGAGCCACAATTAAAGGCTTTCCCACATTCTTTACATTCATAGGGTTTCTCAACAGTATGAAATATCTGATGTCGGGTAAGTTGATAGCCCCAACAAAAAGCCTTTCCACATGTTTGACATTCATAAGGTTTCTCACCAGTATGAATTTTACGATGCTGAGTAAGTTGATAGCCACGACTAAAGGCCTTCCCACATTCTTTACATTCATAAGGTTTTTCGCCAGTATGAATTATCTCATGTTTAACAAGGCTTGAGCCCCAAAAAAAGGCCTTCCCACATTTTTTACATTCATAAGATTTCACACCAATATGAATTTTCTGATGTTGAGTAAGTTGATAGCCACGACTAAAGGCCTTCCCACATTCTTTACATTGATAGGGTTTCTCACCAGTATGAAGTCTCTCATGTTTAACAAGGCTTGATCCCCAACTAAAGGTCTTCCCACATTCCTTACATTCATAGGGTTTCTCACCAGTATGCAATCTCTGATGCACGGTAAATTGATAGGCACTAAAAAAGGTCTTCCCACATTCTTTACAGTTAAAGTGTTTTTCAGCAGAATGAGTTCTCTCATGTTGAACAAGTTTTGAGCCATGACTAAAGGCCTTTCCACATTCCTTGCATACGTAGGGTTTCTCTCTATGATGAATTCTCTGATGTGGAGTAAGAGATTTATTTTTTCTGTAAGTGAGCATGTTTTCATAGCTGATTATCATTTGACTGAAATATCCCTCTTGACGTCCCTGTAGTCCCTCGAATTTGCTTTTGCACTTCCAGTCATTTCTGAGAATGGATGCCTCAAGGCCAAGGGTTTTACTTTTTTCCTTTATCTCCCACTGAGAAAAATTTATTTCAAAAATATCCTTTTCTGAAAATGTATTTTTGGTCTCATATATTGACTCCAAATCTGAAAGAAAACAATACAACCACACATTTTATTTCCTTTACCAGAAAAAAAATCTCAATAGTAGAAATAAAAAACAAATTAAAAATAATACCCATTAGAAGTGAATTAGATGAAGAGACTTACTGATCTAACTCTTGAGCATCAAGGCTCTCCCTTTCCTGTCAAACAATAAACTCAGCTTTGATATTTCAGCTCTTGTGATCTTAATGTTGAGATTTGACAATTTTCTTAAGGATTCCACCGAGATCACCTTAACAAGTCTGTCGCCTTCCTGTGTTGATGGTTCCTCGGACCAAAATGCGGGCTTTCATCAATTAAACCCTTATGTGCCCAAGTGTGGTCATTCAATGTCCCCTTCTAGGCATGTCGCTTAATGGTAATCAAATCTACTTGCTATAATGAGCTTTTGATGATTTTGTTTTGTTTAACTTATTTCTAAGTTTTCTGCAACATGTGACTTGTTTTCTTTACCTCTGGCCCAAAGTCTCCTATAAGATTTTAATTTAACTGCAGTTTGTTGTATGAACTTTCATCCTTGTTATACTGTCTTTGGTAATTTATATGTGATTTACTGGGAGAGAAAGGAATTATCTCCACCTTCTAATTGGCTTACATGCACACAAGGTCACAGAGGCCGACACTGCTGATTTCATCAGGAAATCACTCTGTGTTACTCTCTACAGCTCACACTTGTCGTAAGTTACTCTCTATGGGTTTGTGTGCCTATTTTTGTAATGAATTCTACAGCTAACTCATGATTTAAGCCATGCTACACTTCACAGGAAGACCACAAACTAGTGATTACTAGACTGCTAGCCTGGTCCTAATGGTAAAGTTGCCAAAATGTTCTTCAGCATACTTTACATCAGTATTGAATATCACTTCTCGATATAGAAATAATCCCATCTGTATATGCTTTACTTTAAAAGAAGGGTCTGCAAACATGAAACAATTAACAACTTCCTCTTTAGGGAATCCAGCCTCTTACATGTATACTCATTATTACCCTAATTTCTAGGTATATCTGGTAAAGTGTCAGCCTTTCATTAAGACTAACTTTTATTTACAATGGCCACTTTGGCAGACTTTGAATTTTAACAAGCTTTCACAAATACACAGAGTTCCAGAACGAAGAAGAGAAAATTAGTAAATGAGATAAAAAATCTAAGGGAAGGACTAATGGACCACAACTTCCACAACCTCCACCAGACTCAGCCCAGAACAACTAGATGGTACCTGGTTACCACCACCAACTGCTCTGACAGGGATCACAACAGAGGGTCCTGGACAGAGTGAGAGAAAAATGTAGAACAAAATTCAAATTCACACACACACAAAAAAGACCAGGCTTGCTGGTCTGATAGAGACTGGAGAAACCCCGACAGTATGGCCCCTGGACACCCTTTTAACTCAGTACTGAAGTCACTCCTAAGGTTCACCCTTCAGCCAAAGATTAGACAGGTCTATAGGGCCAACAATAACACATGTGAAGGACATGCTTCATAGTTCAATCATGTATATGAGAATAATGGACACACTAGCCCAAAAGCAAAGACAAGAAGGCAGGGAGGGACTGGAAAACTGGATGAATGGAAAGAGGGAACACAGGGTGGAGAAGGGGAGAGTATTGATACATTGTGGGGTTGGCAACCAAAGTCACAAAACAATTTGTGTATTAACTGTTTAACAAGAAACTAATTTGCTCTGTAAAATTTCACCTAAATCACAATCATAAAAAAAAACTAAGGGAACTCCTGTGCTGATAGGTTTGTAGACACTAAGTCTGTAAATTTAAAAGTCTATAAGTTTAAAAAAATGGAATCCAACAATTTTCAAGAAGAGAGAAAAATTATGTTCCTAATGTGTTAAATGTTGTGGCTCTTTAAGAAAATCTTCAAATGCTTGCTAAAGCTATAGCTCTGAAGGAAAAGCGTTTAACTCCCAGCTAAATTAACGTCCTTGTTTACTACAAGATAAGAACCAAAGGATTGCTATTAGATTTTTGGTGACTTTTTAAACAAATACAGGAGTTTATATGATACATAATGAGAATTCTGTTATAGTTTCTTTTTGGAGATATACCCTAGGCACATTTGTGGACTGTGCGATCTCTATATTGAGTCCCTGGGTGGCACAAATGGTTAGCTGCTCGACTGCTAGCCAAAAGGCTGGCAGTTCCAACCCACCCAGAGGTGCCTACAAAGACAGAGCTGGTAACTGATCTGCTTCCAATAGGTCACAGCCTTGAAAACTCTACAGAGCAGTTCTACTCTGCACACATGAGTTGGAGTCAACTTCCTTTTTTTTTTTATTATAAGCTCAAAACATTTTGATTCAGCCTTGGTTAAATCTGGAGTCCCTAAGTGGTGCAAATGGTTAACAGTTAATGTGCTTAGCTGCTAACCGAAAGGTTGGAGATTTGACTCCACCCAGAGGTGCCTTGGAAGAAAGGCCTGGTGATCTAATTCTGAAAAATCAACCATTGAGAACCCTATGGAGCATAGTTCTACTCTGATACACATGGGGTTGCCATGAATCAGCATCAACTTGACAGCAAGTCAATTTGGTTGTTGTTAGTTAAATCTACAATAAACTAAACGTAAACTCACATTGGTAAAGACTTCAGAGAAGAGAAGGAGAATGGGAATGAAGAACATGAGATCACATAGGTCGGAAGATGATCTTGTTTTAAGTGTATTCAGGCTCCATCTCTTGAGAGCAAATAAACATAGAGCAAATTGAAATTCAGCTGGTTGAGAACAGGCTCTGGAGCCAGACTTCCTAGGTTCAATTCCTGCCACTGACTCCCACCAGCTATAGGATGCAGGAAAGTCATTTAAACTGTATGTGCCTCGTATTCTCATCTGTAAAAAGGGAATAAAAACAGTGCCTACATCAAGGGGATGCTGTGAAGGTTAATTAATGTATTTGTAGTGCTTAGAATAGAGCCTGGTACATAGTATCAAAGAGATCAGAGCCCTGGTGGTGCAGTAGTTAAGAGTTCGGCTGCTAACCAAAAAGTCAGCAGTTCAAATCCACCAGCCGCTCCTTGGAAACCCTATGCAACAGTTCTACTCTATCCTATAGGGTCACTATGATTTGGAATTGATTCGACGGCAGTGGGTTTGGTTTGGGTTTACTTTGATTTTAAGATTTTCTTACCCACAAAACCAAATATTCACTGTAAAGAAGTTCCTGACCAAAAGTGATCCTGCTAGCACTTTTTCACCCAACGGTGCTAATCTTTCTTTCCTGTTCAGAAGCCAGGCTTACCAAGTGTGAATTTCAAAACGCATGGCTGAAGGTGGGTGGAAGGCCTGAGATCACCTTGTGATCTGATATCATTTGATCTCAGTAAAAGCGAAGCCGGGGTTCAATCAGTTATGTTGAGACTGACCAGTGGTTGATCTTCTAGTATTTTCCCTCCTCTTCTCTTTATCAGCCTTATTGTAAGTAGCACACTTCAAGCTGTTTGCTTTTTTCTGCAATCAGAATTGTCTCCCTATGTGCATATAGAATAACTGCTCAGAATAAACCTTATGCTTCAATTTCTTTGAGTTTTGATTATTTTTAACAAAAGTAAGTGCAATGTTAACTAGCAATATTATTACTGTTGTTATTTTGCTAAGAGGAAAACAAGAAGTTTCATGAGACATTTTTAGGATATTCACTAAATGTTAAATGCAAAGTTCACAGATTGTAACATTCAACTTCAAATTTGTTGTAGCTAATGAAATGTGGGAATTTAAATAAATGTGGAACTCAGTTGAATGTGGGAATTTAAATTTAATGTGGGTATTAAATAAATCCTGTTCATTCAATCCAGGCTCTTTGAGAGTCAGAGAATATTAGGATCCCCATTTCTAGCTATGCCCCCGCATGTGGAGCAGAAAATAACAAATAACAGTGCTTCTCACTTAATGTACATAAGAATCACCTGGAGATCTTGTATAAATGCAGGTTCTCTTCAGTTGGAGGAAACCCTGGTGGCGTAATGGTTAAGAGCTACAGCTGCTAACCAAAAAATCGGCAGTTTGAATCCACCAGGTGCTCCCTGGAAACCCGATGGGGCAGTTCTACTCTGTCCTATGGGGTCGTTATGAGTTGGAACTAACTCGATGGCAGCGGGTTTTTCGGTTTGGTTCTTCATTTAGTCTGGGGTGGGGCCTGAGATTCTGCACTTCTAACCAGTCCCAGAAGAGGCTGATGTGAGGTATTTATGTAATACTTAACAATAGAAAGTTAAAAACTTAAACAAAAACAGGTAAGCCAAATTGTAGCTTCTAATCACTGAGAAAACAATCCATGTATCTCCTAAAAACCAACAAAACTGCCTATCATTTGGCTCCTGCTTATCTCCCTGACTAATTTCTTAGCACTCTTTCCTTCACCCGCTCTGCTATGGCCTCCTTAAGGTCCCTCAAACCAAAGAACCACACTTAGAGTTCCAAGGACATACCGCATCTATGGAAACCCAGCCCCCTGGCATTAAAGAAAAGAGGCAATTGCAGGAAAGGCAGAGGAAGGTGTGAAGGTCACTGAGGAATGGGGAACATCCCTCCTATCTAACCCAACAAATGCCAAAGCATTCCTTTGGGAATAAGGAGAAGAAATTCAGCTAGCTTCTTCAAAGACAGGCCTGAAATTCCCAATGAAGAATTCAGGGATTTGAATGTTTCAGGGAACAGATTCGAAATTCTTTCAGGCAGATGACCTTACCCAGGGAGACCAAGTTGCTGTAGTTCTCCAGCATCACATCCACATACAAGTCCCTCTGAGCAGGGTCCAGGCATTCCCACTCCTCCTGAGAGAAGGCAATGGCCACATCCCTGAATGTCACCAATCCCTGAAACCAAAAGCCAATGTATTACTTGTGAAATTAAAGAACATATTTCCAACAGGAAAGGAAGGTATGAAGGATAATACTGCAAGAAGGGGGAACTGCAACAATCAGGTAGGCTGAAAGGCCATGGTACTAGGGAAATTAGTGTGACTAAAGCAGACTGTCTACACATTCTAGAAGAATCCTGTTACAGTAGAAGAAACTTCCTGGATACTGTAAGATAACAGATATCCAAACCTGTCTGGTAATACATAAAATAATCCATTTCCCTATTAAGCGGTGTGTGTGCATGTGTATATATATATGAAAGTTTTCATGTTTTTTTCCTTAAAGAGAAAAGATTATACATATACACATATATATGCACACACACACATTACATGTCTATGTATACACATACATACACACACATTCAGTTGTATATATATATATGTGTGTGTGTACGTATGTATGTATATTCTTGTTCAGACAAGTTTGGATATCTATTATCTTACAGAATCCAGGAAGTTTCTTCTACTGCAACAGGAAGGTTTTTCTACTATACACATACACATACATATATATACACACACACACATATATACACGTTCAGTTGTAGATATATGTGTATGTGTACATGTATAATCTTTTCCCTTTAAAAAAATGAAAATATTTTTTCCAAATGTACGTATAAAATCTCTATCATAGGAAAATAATTTCCATTAAATAAAGGAATATTTTCAAGCCTCGAGTTCATCATTCTGTTAGATTACATCATAAGCATTTTTTCTTATAATCATGAGTAAATACAATTTTTTTTTATTATGGACATATTTATTTATAATTTAGGTTGAATAAAACTTCTAAAGATTTTCTTAAATCTGGGAATCTATTATCATCTAGTACATATGCATCTGGATCATCTTCTTACCACCATCGACCAACCCTCACTTAACACCTTCCTTGTCCCTGAGAGGATACTGATCAGGTTGTTGCACATGACACAGATGTCATCCAAGACTGGTGTCCCCATGACAAAACGGACTTTGATACTGGTGGTCATCAATTAGGGAATCCCTGGAAAGAACCACTCACTCCCCTCTCTAATCCTAAAACTCTGCAAAGCCTAAGATCTCACATAAACCAAGGGTGACACCAAGCAAGCCCAAATTCCATCTTATCTCTTTGGAAAATGCAGGGCTGTGGAGAAGTTTCAAGTTTTCTTGTGTGGTCTGATGAGACCGTCCTCATAACTCATCACAGACTTGATGGTAAGAGTGAGAAATTCTGATAAGGGAAATGGTGTGGACCTGGATGAACCAAAACAGAAGTGACAACAAAGGACAGCACCAGAGACAGCCTGCCACAAATACGTCTCAGTTAAACCCCCAAGGTCTTTCAGAGAATCCATAAAACAGCTGGAGCTGTTTTCCTGGATGACCATCCAGCTGTCTAAGGGCAGAGTACCCTGACTGGCTGGACTGTTTGCTGAAAAACAAAACTAAAAACCAGTTGCCGGGGAATCTGTTCTGACTCGTGGCAAACTCGTGTGTGACAGAGTAGAACTGTGCTACACAGGGCTTTCAGTGGCTGATTTTTCAGATGCAGATCACTGGGACATTCTTTGGAGGTGCCTCCAGGTGGACATGAATCTCTGACCTTTTAGTTAGCAGCTGAGCAAATTAACCCTTTGTATCATCCAGGGACTGGCCTATTTGCTAGCTGCCTGCTAATCAGCATCTTACCTTGAAAAAGGAAAACGTTTTTGCGTTTAAAATGTCTGCAGTCTTTCATTCTCTTTCTTCTTTCTCTTATATGAATCCTGTTTGTACTCTGACAGATGAATTCAACCTACTACAGTCAATTCTCATTATTTGCAGGTTCTGTATTCCCAAATCCGCCTATTAACTAAAAATACATACTCACGAGAGTTCATGGACACATGCCTGTGCAAAGTGGCAAAAAATTCCTAGCTGAGGATGAACAAAGCTGGTTCAGTATTAGCTAATGCAGTATTCACGGGACTTCACAGAACATAACTACTGTGAATAACAAGACCTGACTGTATCGGTTTTCTTTGTATAGAAGTAAAAGTGTGCTAATCATTAACTTTATTTCATTGAGTTATTCTTTGACAGGAGCTCAAGTATTTCCTTGAAGGGACTCCATTCCTTCACTTCTCTATCATTACTCTTGATAAAAGACTGAACATACAGAAGATGCTGAATAATGTGTTCAGTGAATATGAAGACGCCGGTAGGAAAAGAGAGCGGCACATGGGGCGGGGGGCGGTGCTGGGCTGTTTGGCACCCTCCTTCACTGGAATGGGAGGAAGTGAGGAGCAGCTTCAGTGATGGGATTCTGTTAGGTAAAAAGCTTCAAGATTATCAATAGAAATAGCGCGTGACTTAAACATCACGATATTTCAAGGAGAGAGAAATGCCAACTTACGTCAGTCATGGTCCTAGAACTGCAAGAACAAATTAATCCTCCATGCGGTTCCTCTACTGGTGAAGCACAGAGTCTAGAGAAGTCAGAGCTGCAGAGGAACAAGAAGCTTAGAGCAGGTGTGCTTACCGGATCCCACCCTGACTTGAGCTTATATATGCTCCTGTTTCTACCCTCTTACCCCTGCGTGCCATTTATGGAATCTAAACCTTCCCCCGAAACCCCAAAGCACTTCAGCAGGATGGTGTCTGGCTAGTGACCACTTCTGGTGACGCTGATCTGGATCTTAGATTGGGCTGTTCAGTCCTGCCTACATCAGATCCTCCTCCCTCTCTTCCCACCTCTCTCGGCTAAGAAGGGGCCACATCATCCAAACTACAATCTTCTTTATAGCCTCAGGGTTGAACAAAGTTGGTCACGACATGGGAGCTGGACAGGGTGTACAAGGAATTACTCAGGCAATTGCCTGAGTCCAAAAAAACCAACTGCTTAACTGCATATCAGAACATCCATGGAATGGAACACCATGCAGTTGATAAATATGCTAAGTTGGGGAAAATACTCAAGATATACTGTCAATAGAAAAAATGGGTTACAGGATATATATAGTATATATATAGTATGATTACATTTACACAGTGTGATTATATTTATAAAATATATGTAAGATCAATATAGAGAGACTGACAATCAGACACAGATTTAAAAAATGTTTGGAAAGTTATATACCTGTATATTAATAAAATTTTGTTAACTTGTGATCATAATGTTCTCCTTTTGATCAGGTATCCTGCATAATTCTGTAGACACAACTGTGTATAATACCAACTCTATGATATCTACGTATGTCCGTGTCCTACCTAGAAAAAAATGGCTAAAATTCTCCAAGCAATCTCATGGTGATACTGAGGAGGTCTCAATCCTGCTTCCTTTCATGACTTCTTGACACATGGGCTTATTTTGCATCTCAACCTCTTTTTAGACATGATACCCTCCAGATAACTTCTCAATCAGTTGATCCTAGTAGTCTCATTGTAATTAACACTATTAGAATAAAAGCTGTAAGGTATAAAGTTTATAGAATACATTCCATTTGCCTTCACAGTGTTGGTCATGACCCAACAGTATTACCTATAATCACTTTCCTCTGAGCTCCTAAGGCAAGTCATCTCAACTGCTCTATGGGCCTTTATTGCTGTATTGCCTTACGCTTACTCCTATTCATATTTAGTCTTCTTTGTCTTAAAGGAAGCAACTGTATCTTTTAGTCATTGCATTACCTCACAAGTACTACCACCACAGGCCCTTGCATTGGGGAAAAATTTTACCCAGAATTCCATTTCTAGAAATGTATCCTTAAGAAATAGCTAGAGAAGCACACAAGATATACGCACAAGGATATTCAACCAGAAATAACTTTTGACAACCAAGAATTAGAAACTATGCAATAGTAGGCAAAAAAGCAAAAACCAAACCCAGTGCTGTTGAGTCAATTCCAACTCATAGCAACCCTATAGGACAGAATAGAACTGCCTCATAGGGTTTCCAAGGGGCAGCTGGTTGATTCAAACTGGCAACCTTTCAGTTAGCAGCTACAGCTCTTAACCACTGCGCCACCTGGGCTCCAGCAGGCAAAAGGTTTACTAAATTATAGCCCATCATACCTTCACTGGAAACCCTGGTGGCATAGTGGTTAAGACCTATGGCTGCGAACCAAAAGGTTCGCAGTACGAATCCACCACGCACTCCTTAGAAACTGTATAGGGCAGTTCTACTCTGTTCTATAGTGTCACTATGAGTTGGAATCGACTCGACGGCAATGGGTTTGTTTGTTTTTTTAATACCTTCACTGAAATCCCTGGGTGGCAGCACAAATGGTTAAGTGCTCGACTACTAGCCAAAAGGTTGGAGATTCAAACCCACCCAGAGGCACCGTGGAAGACAGGCCTGGCGATCTGCTTCCAAAAGGTCACAGCCTTGAAAACCCTACCGAGTGCAGTTCTATTCTACACACATGGGGTCACCGTGAGTCAGAATCTACTCAAAGGCAACTGGTTTGGTTTGGTTTTTTAATTCTGTTGAAATTAAGAAAAAGGCTGTGGCGCTAGACCTTCAGGATATAAATCTTAACCTGAAGATTTACAAATATGAATGGGATCACTGGCACTTCTGCTTCCTACACACTCAAAAGAGTAAAATGAAACCCATACCCAGAGGCTGAACTTCTTTTTAGAGCTAAAGAGTGTTCCTATAATTTACAGTACCAATTAGTGTGATTTTGTTCCTGTAGAACAAAATCACAAAAGCTCACAGGGAAAAATAATTGTATAAAAATACACCAAAATACTAGGAATGATGAACTCTAGAGGGTGTGATTTTAACTTCCTCCTCCATAAGCTTCTGGGACTGCTGAATTTTCTGCAAAAAGTCTGATTACATAATCAGAAACATGGAGATATTTACAAATGTAAAAAATTGAGTAATGGGATAGATGTATATTCCAGTCATTAAGGAAACTGAGAACAAAACAAGCACCTCAATTTCTCAGGAAATGTCAAGGGTTTGGAGTTATCTCTCAGGAACTAAGGATTCTGTGTAAACTAATTCTATACCCCAAAGCAATGTTACAAATTTCTACCTAAAGATCATTTGAAAACCTCTGCCCTTGCTGGTGCAGACCCTATGCTCAAAGCCCAATCACATTCCTGACCCTAAAAGACATAAAGCAGACAACGTTGTCATTTATTGACTGAGTCAGTCAATCCATTCCTACCTTGCCTTACTATAAAAATCACAACTGTCAAGTAGATAAAAAATAACTTGTACATGATACCACCTAAATGCTAATCTCCTTAAGTAATCATAGTCTCAAAGCTCTAACATTAATCTCGACGAGGTATATTTCTATACCATCAAATTGCTTGAACAATTTGACTTATGGATATGTGGCTATTAAAGGAGGAGAGAAAGACAATTTGGGGCCCTGGGAAGGAGGCTATGAAGCCCTGGTGACACAGTGGTTAAGCACTGGGCTGCTAACTGAAAGGTCAGCGGTTGGAAACCACCAGACGCTCTGTGAGAGAAAGATGTGGCAGTCAGTTTTCATAGAGATCACAGCCTTGGAAACCCTGTGGGGGCAGTTCTACTCTGTCCTATAGGGTCGCAGTGAGGCAACGGGCTTGGGGGGCAGGGGTGAAAGGGGGATGCATCAGTATAGTGGGTCATTCACTAGGAAAAAAAAGCTAGGATAGGCACTGCGAGTCAGGTTGAGGAAAGCAAAAATTCAAAACCTAAAAGCAAAAGTAATTGTATGAAAAAAAAAAACCCCACAAACTTACCTTAATCTTGATTTCTAAATATGCAACAATTCTTTCCTTTGCTTCAAGGCCCTTCTTATGTGGCAGCCCTGGGGAAGAAAGGAATCATGAGATAAACCAACATTTCTGGGTGCACAACCAAACTTAAAACAAAGAAAGAAAACAGAGAGAGAGAGAAGAAAACAAAAACAAAAACTCCCTCTAGGGCATCTGTCTCCATCCACATATAACCAAATGGAATTAAAAGAGAGGCTGGAATCTGTCTGAATTGACAGGAATTCTCAGGGACAGAGCTCTGGATGCAGTGGCTCTGAAACATGTAGCTGAACCCCAAGGAACTCTTAGAGGCGCCCCTCCGAGGAATCCTACCCCGGGGACCTCCCCATCACGTCTTCCCAGGAGCCTGTCATGATGACATTTCCAGGTCTAAAAGTCTTATCCCAAGACAAGGAGCGTGCATTCTTGCTTGAAACCGTCATTCTAGAGTTTAATACAGGGCTTCTTTCTGGCAGTCATTTAACTAACAAGCCCAAAGAGAACCTAGAGAGAATCTAGAGCTACGGGCACACACAACCAAAGCAAACCACACTTATAAGTAAGGACACGCACACCATCAGCCTGTCAAATCTTCACAACCGCACCCACCATCACGGAGACACCCCCGACCCGGTCAAGCAGTCTGACACACACCATCCTCCTCAGCTACTCGCGCAAACGCAGCCTTGAGGCTCTGGACACGACACATCCTGTCCGCGACACGAGCCTTCCTCACCTCGAGGGCCACCCTCATCCCCACCCTCATTGCGAATTCTTATCCGGCTCCGATAAAGTCCGTTGAGGAGGCCCAAGCCCACCCTGAGCTGATACCTTCCTCCGACGAAACTCAACTCGCAGAGCCGAGAACCTTGGGGACACCGGAAATAGACCCGAAACCGAGGTTAGTTCGGACCCAGAGGTTTATGGGAAATGTAGTCCAGAGCGTGGTATAGCAGAAGGTCAGCGAAAAAGAGGAAGACTCAATGAAATAGATTGACACAGTTGCTGCAACAATGGACTCAACCATAGCCATGATTGTGAGGATGGGGCAGGACCAGGCAGTGTTTCGTTCTGTTGTGCATAGGGTCGCTATGAATTGGAACCAACTCAACTGCACCTAACAACAACAGCCCAGAGACAGAAAACCCACGGATGCTGGAAGCTCTCCGGGCTAGCCACAGACAAACACCCCGCCCCTAAAAGGAAGACCTGTGACCCGGAGACTTCTGGGAAATGTAGTCCCAAGCTGGCGAATCTGCGGAAGCTGGGAACCAGGCCATTCGGAATGCTCCCGGCATGCAACCCGGTTCCGCTTATCCAAAGGTATATTTTCCGAAGCTGAAGAGTTCTAATATTTGCTTGAGAGAGTAATAATAGTCCGCTTGGGCGATCTTGGCGGCTCAGTTGACCTTGGTGTGGCTGAAGGAGAATTAAAAGGTTCTCAGTGAAGGCTGAATAACCGATTCTGGAGTCCCAAGCAGGAGGGCGGCGATAGGAATGGGTGTTTCTGGGGCCTTACACCTGAATGAGAGCACCCGCTGTAATGTCCATGGGCATGACCCTGAGCGGAGACCTACTAGCGCCTAGAGTGGTGTCTGGCAGTTGACTGGACGGGTCTGTGTCTTGCTCTGAATGAGTTTATGGGTCCAATTCGGGTTCTGGAACCCTATGTGGAGTGTTTTGTATTCATGGATATTGTCTGCCAGCGTGTAAGTCTTCGTTGCCTTGACTAGGAGAAGGTATTTGTTAAGAGATTATATGCCACTGTTGGAAAGCAACAATAAGAGGTCGCATGGATATTGTACCTGTGGGGACTTGGGTGAAGATCTCTGGGCTGAGAGACATGAAGTCTGTAAGATGGTGTGTTTCTGTGAAGGTAAACGAACATAGTATTTGTGAGGTGGCTTTTTGATAAGCTTTTCTTTTGTGTGCGTACCATGATGATTATGAAAGTGGGTCACTGCAGTGCTGTCTAGTTCAGTATGTGTTAGTTTGATTATCTGAATACTGACTACTATATGTGCCTGGGAAATTGTGCCTGTTTGTTATGGTTGTGAGTGACCATAAGCCACAGTTTCATTATCTATAAAGTAATATTACATCTTCTTGGAGCACCTTGCAATTTACCTGCCAAATGATTTCAGTATTTTATATTGAATGAAGGCTGTTTTATGGATAAGAATGCAAATCAGCATAACTTTTAAAAAGAATAAAATAATATCTGGTCATGGAGTGGCTGAGGTAGGTTTCCACTCTTCTGTGATGTTAAGGGAACTTGAGCAGGTAACTTTGAAGAACTCTCAGTCCCGGGCTGCTGCTCTCTCCTCTGTGAGGGCTCTGTTTCCAGCCAGGCTGCAGTTCAGTCTTTCTGTCTGCCTCTAGATGGGTCAGGATATACACCGTGAATAGTCTGCTAGCAAGATTTGTCGTATTTATTTTGGAGCTGGAGATCGGGGCCCTTCCAAATACACAGGACAGCTGTGCATTGGTGGGGGGTGCAATGTGCAGTGGAGTGCAACTGTGGCTCCACTCCAGCCCATCTGCTTGACAAGCCAGGGAGGAGGTTGGGTCAGTGGAAGAAGCAGTTTACCTACTGTATGAGATTCGTCCTGTCTTTATGCAGTTTGCAGCTCCTTGCTGCATTCTTTTGTCCACGATGGTAGGCCATAAAACACCTCAATAAATTTAAAAGGGTAGAAATACAAAGTATGTTCTCCAACCACAATGGAATACAATTAGAATCAATAGCAGGAGAAAATTGGGGAAATACAAGTAAGTGGAAATTAAACAGTAGGCTCGTAAATAACCAATGGGTCAAAGAAGAAATCACAATGGAAATTAGAAAATGCTTTGAGAATGAATGAAAATGAAAATAAAACTACCAAAACTGATGGGATGCAGCTAAAGCAATGTTTAAAGGGAAACTTATACCTGTAAATGTCTATATTAAGAAAGAAGAAAGATCTCAAATCAGTGAACCTAATATTCCATCTTAGACACTGGGAAAAGAAGAAGAAACTAAAGAGAGAATAAAAAATAAATAAATAAAATAAAGAGAATAGAAAACCAATACAGAAAATCTACAAAACCAAAAGATGGTTGTTTGAAAAGATCAACAAAATTGACAAACCTTTAGCTAGATTGACTAAGAAAAAAAGAAGACTCAAATTATTAAAATCTGAAATGAAAGACATTACTCTGACTTTACAGAAATAAAAAGGATTATAAAAGAACAGTACGAATAATGGTATGCCAACAAATTAGATAACTTAGATGAAACAGACAAATATCTAGAAAGATACAACTACTGAAATTAAAGAAATAGACAATCTAAATAGACCTATAACAGGTGAAGAGATTGAATTAGTAATCAAAAAACTACCCACCAAGAGAAACCCAGGCCCACACAGCTTTACTCCTAAATTCTTCCTTACTTGCAATACTTTACAAACCATTACAGAAATAGAAGAGGAGGCAAGACATCCCAATTCATTTTATGAGGCTAGTATTACCCTATTACCAAAATCATACAAAGATATCACAAGAAAATAAAACTACATACCAATATTCTTAGGAATATGGGTGCAAAAATCCTCAACAAAATACTAACAAACCAAGTCCAACTCAATAATAGGGATTATACACCATGGCAAAGTGGGATTTATCCCAAGAATGCAACATCCAAAAATGGTTACCATCCAAAAATAAGTTAATGCATTATATAAATAGGATAAAAACAAAAATCATGATAAACACAGAAAAATCATCTGACAAAATCCAACACACTTTAGTGACAAAAACAATGAACTAGAAGTAGAAGTGATTTTACTCAACCTGATAAAGGGCATCCATGAAAAACCACAGCTAACATCATATTTAATGGTGAAAGTCTAGATACTTACCCCCTGAGATCAGGAACAAGATATATTCTACATTGTACTAAAGGTTCTAGTCAAGGAAATAAGGTAAGGAGGAGAAATAAAAGGCACGCAGATTGGGAAGGAATAAATAAAATGTTGTTTATAAATGATATAATTGTCTTTGTAGGAAGTCCCAAAGACTCAGCAAAAGAACTCTTGGAACTAATAAGCAATTATAGCAAGGTTACAGGATACAAAGTTAATATACAAAAGTCAATTGCTCTCCTATATACCAGCAGTGAACAACTGGAATTTGAAATTAAAAATTCAGTGTGCTCCCTTTCAAGTAATATGTTCACATGGCCATTAAGCTGTGACCAAGATGGACTGACAACCAGGAGACTCCTTTGGAGTGTTGTGGACCCTGCTTGACCCTAGAGAGTGGAAGTGGGGAGGGGTTGAATGCATAAGGTTACTGAGATTGAATTTCTCAGCAGTCAGGTCATTGGGGCACTAGTTGTAGTAGGAGCAGAGTAATTCAATTTAGAGAAATAAATGTGACTCTTATTACAAAAAAATACAATATGATTTACATTATCAACAACAAAAAAAGACAAATATTTAGGTATAAGTCTAACAAAATATGTACAAGATCTATATGAGGAAAACTACAAAGCTCTGATGAAAGAAATGAAAGAATGGAGAGATATTCCATGTTCATGAATAGGGAGACAATATTATCAAGACGTTAATTCTTCTCAACTTGATCTATAGATTCAATGCAATCCCAATCAAAATCCGGCAAGTTATTTTGTGGATGTCAACAAATTGATTCTAAAGTTTAGATGGAAAAGCAAAAGACACGGGATAGCCAGCACAATACTGAGGAAAAATAAAATCAGAGGACTGAGACTACCTGACTTCAAGACTTCCTATACAGCTACAGTGATCGGGACAGTGCGATTTTGGCAAAACAATAGACAAGTAGATCAATGGAACAGAATAGAGAACCCAAAAATAGACCCACACAAATACAATCAATTGATCTGTCACAAAGGAGCAAAAACAATACAATGGAGAAAAGATAGTCTTTTCAAAAAAATGGTGCTGGAACAACTAAATCCACATGCACAAAAAAAAAAAAAAAAGGAATCTAGACACAGACCTTACTTTTCTCTTTTCAGTCTGACTGATTTTTATTTGTTTTTATTGTCTAATTGTCCTGGCTAGAACATCCAGTACAATGTTGAATAGAAGTAGTGAGAATGGATATCTTTGTCTTGTTCCTAATCTTTAGGGGGAAAGCTTTCAGGTCTTCATCATTAAGTGTGATATCAGCTCTGGGTTTTTCATAGATACGTTTATCAGGTTGAGGATGTTCACATCTATTCCTAGTTTTTTGAGTGTTTTTATCATGAAAGGGTACTGGATTTTGTTAAATGCTTTTTCTTTATCAAGATAATTGTGTGTTTTTTCCCCCTCTATTCAATTAATATGATTGATTGCTTTTCGTATGTTGACCCAACGTGGGATAAATCCCACTTTGACATGCTGTATAATCCTTTTCATATGTTTCCAGGTTCAGTTTGCTAGTATTCTGTTGAGGATATTTGCATCTGTATTCATTAAAGGATATTGGTCTATAGTTGTTGTTGTTTTTTTTTTTAATGATGTGTTTGTCTGATTTTCTTATCAGAGTAATGCAGGCATCATAGAATGAGTTGGGAAGTGTTCTTCCTATTTTATTTTTTGGAAGAGTTTGTGAAAGATTAGTATTACTGCCTTAAACTTTTGGTAGAATTTGCCAGTGAAGCCATTGGAACCTGGGCTTTTCTTTGGTGGGAAGTTTTTACTTGATAGAGTTCTACTAAAATTTTCATTTTCTTCTAGTTTCAGTAGTTTTTGCTTTTCTAGGAATTTGTCCATTTCATCTAGATTATCTAATTTGTTGACCTACAGTTGTTTTTGGTATTCCCTTATAACCCTTTTTATTTCTGTAACTTTGGTAGAGATGGTAAGAAGAAGTACAAGTTGAAAATAAGAGTTTTTAATTCTCCCTCTTGAAAGTAAGAAAAGAGGCTCCCCTCC